TTGGTGCTGTAAAGCTCCTAGGGTTGTGAGGTTTAGGAAAGATTCAAATTCATTTGGATCTATTATAGGCAGTCTACATTGTAACTGTGAGATACTGATGCCATGAGTCAAATCCATGACCCCCTAGTTGCATGGCAGTATCTCCTTGTTGCACTAAGACCCTTCTCATTACTGATTATAATATCATACAAATCTGGGGGCGGGGTCATATTCTATGTAACAATTTGAATATCAGAGCTAGGGAACAGATTTCAGACACTTCTTTAATGCCATTAAAACAACCATGTTTTGGTGCACTTCTAGGCTTGAAGCATGGAAATGCAAAGAAGTAGGACTAAGAATATAGGTTCATCATAATAGCTGCTGGCGTTTTCCTTATCTGATCTTTAAGACACCAATATATGGTATAGTAATTTATTGCGAAATCATCTCATAATAACCTTTCCTATTTTATAGTGCTCGTACCTTTGGTTCACCCTGAGAAGCTAATATAGTTCGAAGAAGATCAAATGGATATGACCCCACAGTAGCTGTACACCCAGCTAATGCCCCACTTACATAGGATAGATAAGGGCTCAGATTAATGTGATTCTCTGCAGCAATAGGGAGTAAAACAATGAACAAAACAAATCTAGAACAGGTAACCCAGTAGTAATTGATTAATCATTAACATCTCGAAAGTGCACGTTGGCACAACAATATATTCGTAAACTGTACCAAAAACAAATATTATTGAAATAAAATTTTAATTTAGCAATATAACATAAAGAACATGAAGAACTCATGGGCCTAATTATTTAAAGCGATAACATTTCAACGTATCCAAACAGATTCACCACCAAAAAAACTTAGTAGACAGACACGTAGTGTTTACTTTGCTCATCAAGCTAATATGTTATGTTAGAATCAAATCTTAATATTCACTAGTAGGATTAGAATTAGAAAACCGTATCAATAAATTTTTATTGTATATATTCTTTATGCTGTTATAAATAGAGGTGATTGTAGACTGATTTAGACATACAAAATCACAAATTCAATTTGGTATCTAGGGCTAGGTTTGATCCCATTTGAACCGTCTCGGCACTATTCCGCTGTACAATTCTCAAAATGGTTGGTAATGTAATAATAGCTTTCGCTTTTCCCAGCAAGGTTTGAAATCATAGTTCTCGTTGTCTGAGTTTAGCCACCGTCAAGGCTAATCATAATTTATTTCAGTTTGGTCGATGATTATCCAACAAAACCACTATCTGGTCTTCAAACCATAGTCATAATAGTCACACACGATGCTGTCATGTTAACTGTCTAACGTACTTGACCCTACATGTCACAACAACCCCATTACTAGATTTGCCAGAGTCAGATCGGCCATTCGGCGAAGTGCCACCTTCAACCACCATCCCACGAACACTCATTCGCCTCCAACAACCTGTGTTTTCACCAACGCACTGTAGTCGACAACCGTGCGCGCAGGTGCTTCCAACGGCCTTATGAAGAGGTTTTTCAATCTTCTGCTTCAATTTTCTGTCCCGGTTTCTGAAATGTCAGTTTTTAATTTTTTTGGGCACAAGTTCATTGGTTCTTGTTAAATATTTTTGTTTCTTGGTTTCTAACGGATTTTCTCTATCAATTGACCGATCATTGCTTCTTTGCCATTGTTTTTCAATTCGATTTAATGTCTGCACTGTTTTGGCATTTGGATCTCTCTTTGGAGGTGTGTTTTACACCTTGTTTACTGTTAGTTAGTCTTTAGGCTTTATAGACTCCATGCAGATGTTCTGCACATTTCTTGATGATTTGTTTATGTCTTGTGAGTGCACATTACTTTCTTGTCCTGGTTGTGCACGTCTTTTTATTCAAGTTTATTTGTTGATAATTGGTTTCATAACTGTCAATAGTGTCAGGTGGCCCCTTTGCCTCACCAAAGTCAAGGTTGTGTCGTTGGCACCAGTCATAGATAATGACAGAGTCCCGTTGTCAAACTATCATCAATGTTGAGTAACCAGCACCAATCACACTTATGTGGTTGCTTCAAACAAAGGACAACGTCTAACCAAATACTGTTACACCTTTGTGTGGATGCAGTTAGTGAAAGTTCATTGTGGTTCTAATACTAATTAGTTTGATTTTCTCTTTTAAATGGTATATTTGTAATCTATGAAGCACAGACACACCTCTAATAGTAAGCATGTTGCAGTGTCCGACATCAGTACGACACGTGTCAGAAAAGTCAGACATGTTTCAGAAAAGTCAAACAAGTGTCCTCAAAAAATGGTTTATTTCTCTGCTTAGATACTCCTTGAATCAGTGTCTGACACTCGTATGACACTCCTACAACACGTGTCGGGAAATTCATACAAGTGTTTGAAAAAAATGATTTTTCTATGCTCCAACACACCTTATACATTTTTTTGAACAAATCTTACACACATCTTAAAGGGTTAAACCGGTATTGAAACAATGTTATCAATGAAGAATTAAAGACATTAATTTTGATTAGAATATTTTTAACTCTTTTAATGGATAAATGAATGTCAAATACTATCATATATGTCGAAGTGTCTGTGTCATATGTTCTTGAGATTATCGGTGTCGACGCATCCGTGTCGTGTGCCGGCGTTTGTGTTTGAGTTTGTGCTTAATAGTTTGTAACAAACTTAAAGCTTAGTGCTTTAGCTTGAGGGGGGTTTTTAGAATCAAAGAATCAAATATTAATCTTTATTATTAGAATTAGAATTAGAAAATCATATCAAATCCTACAGAATTACAAATTCAACATGTTACACTACTGAATGACAATTGAAATGCAAAACAGAATACCTGTCTTGGATGAACCAGAGGCAAAAGTCTTCAATGTATGCAAAACAGTAAACTGTATAGCTGTATATGGCATAACCATGAGCAAAGCTGGCACATTGCCCCGCCAAAAACCCTATAATATGTCAAATAAAAAGGGTAATACACATTTTTTCCACAGAAAATAGGCCAACATGAATCTTCCACAAGCTCTTTTTCTCAATTCAAGCATTGTTAGAGATGCCAATGTTGCTATCAGCCAAAACCTTTTCAAGGGATATGGATATGGGAACAGAGACAGGTTATTGAAAGAGAGAAGTAGAGTATGGGAGAAACTAAACAAAAATTATAGAAGCTCAATTACTCTACCCGTATGCCTTCTTCTCTAAAAATATCTTTGGTTGCTTGAAACATGCCAGTATATTTTGAGGGTTTAGACAAATCCCTGCGTAGTGACTTCCAAGAGGAAGTGGGCTCTAGTTGAACCTGTGAATGAATGTGAATAACAGTATATAACATCTTAATACTACTCACATTGATAGTAGAGCAAGCAACAATGACCAGTTAGTTATGAATCAAAGAACCTTAATCTCATGCAATTTTGCATGAGATTAATATGCATACACAAATATTTTCATGCAGCCCCATGTCAATGCAATCATCGCGAGGCAATGGTTTTTTAGTAAAGTAATGTCAATCACAGGAATATCTGATATGTAAAGCAAATTGAAAATCTTTTGATCACTGACGAACAACTATCAAATTTTTATTAGTAAATAGTAGACCTTTTTAATATAATTTTAGAATACAGGGAATGAAAGGAATTTTTTTGACAATATCCTATTCTCAATCAGACATGTAAGGAAAAAATCAGCTTGAAAGTCAGAATCTCTCATCTAGACTTTGGGCATAGAAAGCACAACATTATCAATTTATTTCACAACGGATTGTGTAAATTACGAGATCTAAGATTCCAGCCATGCTAGTGCTCGATATGACCACTCCTTCAATTTACCAATAGGCGTTAGACTGTAAGCCCGCCTTAGTATGTCGGGTAAAATTGGCTCTTCTAACCATAAAAAAGCCTTTATTTGTAGAGAAAGACATATTGCCGCACCAGTTATGTTGTTGATTCTTTTGTGTGTGTTATCCCTTAAGTAAGAAAAACAAATTGCCGCACCAGTGATGTTGTTGATTCTTTTAGAAAGACGTATTGCCGCACCAGAGATGTTGATTCTTGTGTGTGTTATCCATTCAGTAAACATCGAAAATTATTTTGAAGCAAAAACTTACACTCAATGACAACAATACTACTCTCCAAACTAAGATGTCTCTCAAAAAGAAATGGATGTGAGATAATACATATACCATATGATGAACCTCCCTGCCATTGCTTATCTACTTGTCTACTTTGCTTGGGTCATTTATTCCACACAAACCCACTTTTCCTCTTAAACAAACAACCCGTAAGTGGTTGTAAGTGGCAAAGCGCATGTATTGATTGACAGCAAGTTTGGCGAAATTACAGTAGTACTGTCATTTTGTTGAAGTTTCAAAGTGTAGTTTTTGCTAAAATCACTGTGGCCTAAGGACAATGTGATGATTCTGCCAAACTCACCCACCAATCCAAACCTTGGTTCATCAAGGGTGTGTTTAGATTAAGCTATTTGTGATTATATATTGACATAACACTTATTAGACCTTTTGAGAGAGTTTATGGAAACATCTTTTGGTAAGTCCATAATCTGTTTTTATCCCCTAAAAAGCTTATGAAAACTAGTCTTAATTAAATAACTTATATGATCTTATTTTATGTTATAGAGCTAACTTATATGATAAACACTTATGCTATTATCCTGACTTAAGTAATTTTTTTATCCAAACCAAGCCTAAGAAGAAAAAACATGAAGAAAGAAGAAGAATGTGAAATTGTGATAAGCTGAAAGTAGAAGCATACCTGGAATCTAATTTTAATAACATCAAGAGGTGACGTCACTGTCCGTGAAATAGCACCAGATATAGCCCCAGCTGTGGAATTAATCGTAGCCTGCTTCCACTGACTTGTCTCCTCCTTCATTGCCATTGACACCCTCTTTTCTACCTACACCCTACAACACACAATTCACAATTCACACAAATAACATCAACCACAGAAACGAATTGTTCATCAATGCTTAAGCGAAATTAGGGTTAAAGGAACGTGCCAGAAACTGAGATGGAGAAACCGGCAATGGATAAGGGAGAAGACATTGGAGAGAGGGAGAGGAAAACCGTTGAAACAATTGCCGCCTTTGTTTGATGGCGGCGAGGCAAATTCTCCTCCTCCGTCTGCGACGCAGGAAATATAGCAGACTCCAATAGAGACGAAGAAAATTAATAATATTAATTAATACAAGTTGAAAAAACCGTGGTTCTGTTTTTTTAATATAAAAAAGAAAAAAACGAGTTTTGGCGACACAGTTGTTTGGTCCGAGTGGTCGAAAGGGTGAAAGAAAGTTAGTAGGTTATGCTTTTGTTCTGTTTCGTGTTGGTTTCTTTTGATGATGATGTCCTTTCAATGACGTGGAAATTTTATCATTTGGATAAGACTCTCCAAAGCATGTTTTTAATTTTTGACAAATATTAATTGAATATTTTTTTTTTAAACGACATTCATTCATTTAAATGGATATAATATATCAAATAACAAACTCACAACATCCATGTTAATAGTATATAACGGTAAAATGCTTATAAATATGATAAAGCCTACGAATATGACGAAATTAATATGCTCAGAATATTCATGTCTCCAAATCTGTAACGTTAAGGACGTCAACCTCATTAGTTGAATATATACTGACTTGAAACTAATTTATCAATTTGGATCGAACAAACATCATACCAAAGACGAAAAAACCAAATATTATCGTAATAAAATGATAATCAACACAACGTCGCACTAAGACAATGAAATCACAAAAGAAAAAACAAAAAAAATATATGTGAAATCACTTATTTAAATTTTTTATATATATATATATATATATATATATATATATATATATATATATATATATATATATATATATATATATATATATATATATATATATATATATATATATATATATATAATCCTCTTGTTTTAAGCTAATTTGCTATATTCTCTTGGATTTTTTTTTAATGTTATTGAGTGATTTATTTTGAATTTTAAGTATAATAGGGTGGGAAAAAGGAATATGAGTGTAAAATATTTTTTATATTGTTAATCAATGATGGATGTGTATCTCTTTAAGTAACGCTTTTCATTTTAAAATAATGACATAACATGATTGAATGATAAAATTCTATTGAACAATAGTATTAAATTATTTTATATCGATAGTATATTATCTTTAATCTCTAATTAGTAAGATACTCGTGTGTCTGTGCGATTAAATTTATTTAATACGATATAAATTTTATTTAGATATACGTATAAATTTGAAAGTAATTATTTAATATAAAATGAATAATAATAATAATAATAATATAAATTCAATTTTGATATTTGAAAATAAGATTTTTGTGCCTCAAATAAAGACAATTGTTAATTAAAATAAAATAGATATTTTGTTGATAGTAACCAGTGAGAAAAATATAAATTTTGAATTTTCAAAATAAGAATCTTGTATCTCAAATAAAGATAATTATTAATTAAAATAAAATATGTATTTTGCTGATAGTGGCCCGTGAGAAAAATAGAAAATTTTACATTTGAAAATAATAATTTTATGTATCAATTAAGGACAATTATCAATTAAAATAAAATAGGTATTTGGCCCGATAAAAAAAAAATTGTCATTTGAAAATAATAATTTTGTGTCTTAAATAAAGAGAAGTGTTAATTAAAATAAATAGGTATTTTGCAGATAATGGCCCGTGACAAAAATAAAAATTTTTACATTTGAAGATAAGAATTAGTGTCTCAAATAAAAACAATTATTAATTATAAAATTTTTTATATTTGAAAATAATTATAAATATTTTTTTTAATAAAATTATTATATTTTCGGTTCAATAAATTTTTATGTATTCCTCTTCATTTCATTAAAAAAGATTTAATTTATTTATTTATTTATGTTTGGAAAAATAAAAAGAGAAAGAGAAAATGGAGAGAGAGAAAATTAAAATGAAAAAGAAAAAGTGTAGGAAAGAGAAATGTAAGTGGAAAAAGAACCACCACCATTATCCTCATGTAACAAAAGGGTTTAATTTGATCGATTATATGAAATATTTAGTCAATTATTGAAAAAGGCTTTTTTCTTATGTGTATTTTAAAATGTAATGAAAGAGTATATTATAGAGTTTAATGACATTTTCTATTTTTAGATAGATAGTTGATAAGGTTCTTAAAATGTTAACTCATAAATACAAGTTTCTCATTGATGATTTTTATCAGTAATTTAAAGACGGTTGAACTTCCTCAAAAGTCTTGACAAGTTATTGTTAGTGATTTAACCATTAACTATTTGCAAGATGGAACATCGTGATGCTACACGATTTCTTTCAAATTCTCTCTTTAACGGTTTGGCGCATAATTTTCTAGATTTTTTTATTCTAGATTTTTTTCTGTTCAAAATTGAATCAGTCTAATAAAAAATTGATAACTAAATAAATCAAATCAAAAATTGCATTTAATTTTGATATATTTGAGCTATTTTCTAATAAAATCGTACAGTTCAATTTAATTTAAAGTTTGCATTTACAAATCGAAATAAATCAAACCAAACCAAATCAAACTGAATTGCATTATGTTATAGATTTATTAACCACTACACAATTTTGTAAATCCTTAGAGAAATCAATAAGTATTATGTAATATTTTATCATATTTTTGTATGATATTTATTTTAATTTATATTTCAACAAAAAATAAAATATTATTTATTTATAAATATTATTATTTTTATTTGTATGCTATATATATATATATATATTATTTTTTATAAATAATATTATAAATTATTTTCTTAAGAGTTAAAAGGTAATGCACTGACAGTATAAAATAGTTTTACACTGTCATTCAATGAAAATTTATCATTTAACTATGTCATATAACTTATTTAAAAATAACAGTATCACTTGACATTTAACATGATTGTGATTAATTAACATTGTAAAATTATTTTATAGTTATATTTAATTATTAAATTCATAATTTTGATAAATAATAAATTACATATGATATTAATATATATATTTTTTATTATGTAGTTTAGTGGCCGGAGTTTATTCTTTAAAGATGAACAACAAAATAAAGGGTAGTTTTTCAATTTTATTCCCTCCGATTTAAATATTAAAAGAAAAATAGTCAACAAAAATTAATATATTTGTTCCAAAATTACAACCAAATACATTTAACTTTTATAATCAAACTTTCTTTTATATTTTTGACCCGAGAGAGTCCTTTCATGCATGTAGTGATTATCATGTTTTGGACCTGCACTTGTAATGACAAAGAAAGTTTACAATTTAGATGGAAAGAAAGAATGAGTGGATGAAAAATAAAGCATACATTTCCTTAATGCATTGAAAGTTTTTGGTCAATTTGTTGAAGATGGTCCTAGATATAGTATCACTTTCTTATATGACCACCATCTATGATCTACACAAGATTTGAAAAATATTGTGGTCACTATTATATCAAATCAGTGATTAATTTCATTTAATTGTTATCATAATTCTGAAAAAGAATGCTAAAGATTTTCATAATTCTTGTGTGTGACTTGATAACCAATATGGTTGTTTCTTTTGACATGAATCACACAAAGATAATCATGATTTTTAAGATTCTTAAAGAGTCCTTCACTTCTTTTATTAGTTTTTAGTGAAAGTGAGAAGAAGTCAAGTCTTTTTATTTATGATAAGGTGTGGCGACATCTTAATTGTTCGTCTTAATAAACTTCAGTCACTAAACTACATAATAAAAAATACTCCTTTTATTTTTTATTATAAGTCGCTTTGAAAAAAATTATACCATAATATAAGTCGTTTTACAATATCAATGAATAACTAATGTTATTTTTTCTATTATACCCTTAAATTTTTATTATTCTCTCTCATTTCAATTATGTAAATGTATCTTCCTTATGTCATTAATGAAGGACATTTTTGTAAAAACCTTTATGATTTCTCATTTCATACAATAATTATTATTTTTCTTAATACATGTGAAAAGTCTAAAACGACTTATAATAAAAAACAGATGTAGTATATATTAATATCATACTAGTTGATTTGAAGATTCTAGACCTTCATAAATCCTATAAAATATCATATAAAAGAGGGTCACAAAAGTCAAATCAAGGTGTGCACACACATTTCTAACATAAATACATCTCACATTCAATAGTCACTACGTAAGCGTCAGAGTATTTGTAGGTATCATCCAATCTCACTCAAAGTGACACACCATAGCGGACTCTTATTCTCAAAGTTGTCTGAATTTGACTAAATTCTCAATCAAGTAAAATTTTCCTTTCATAAAGGAACATTGTGTCGGTCTATGGTAACAATATATATCATTCAACCATCAACTTAAATGCCATAATGGAATATCGGGGAAAAAGAATGACTCGTAGCTCCAATCGGCCATAATTTGTGGCTAATGAAATAATGAGAAGAAACCACAACATGGAAGACATACTCACAAGATCCTCATCTAATCTAAAGAATTAGATCCAACATCCACCGTAGGTTGAGACACTTTCTACCTCTCCATTGAACGACTAAATTTAGACATCAATAGAAACAAACATATATCCAATCCGTGAAAGGGAAAATAGAGCACCTTAGAGCCCCACTCTAAGGGATCAGGAAACAAATGACAAAACAAATATCTTAATGAGAAATTTGTTCGTTGTAACACTCTAAAAACCTAAAATATTTTTTTTCGGTTTTATCGTATAATAAATATGGTGGAATATAAAAAAATAAGATAAAGGGTGTCACATCAAACAAAAATACTTGAACTTTTATTCATAAACATTACTTGAGGTTTAAACTTAATGATAGTGTGTGAATTTTAGTTCCAACTTAATATCAACAAAGAAAAATATTCAAGAATAAAGATCTCAACCACGATGTTACAATATCAGACTTTTTATTCTCATTCAACTTAACTAGATAACTCAAAAGTTCAGCAAAATGCAATCCTAAGGAAAATAATTAAAGTATTATTCTACACCATCTTCTATAATATGGTGCAACAACTACTCCTCAGTGTTAACCTGAGAATACTCTGCATATAGGTTCACATCGAGAAACAAGGAAACAAGTGGAGTGAGAATACATTCTACAAATAATCATTGTATAATATAGTAAGGATAGCAGTTGCACAGATGGGAGATACAAAATCCTCTTGATATCTTATACAGTCACTTAATATTTTACAATAAGCATATAACTCAAGTTATATTTCACATATATACATATAACCTCGATATTCATTTTTCAT